TGTGTGTGTGTGTGTGTGTGTGTGTGTGTGTGTGTGTGTGTGTGTGTGTGTATGCTATCATTTTACCTTTGGTATCCTTTGTTTCTTCATCAATAAATCTGTGATAGAGATTTCTGGTCGCAGAACTCATAGTAGACTTTTTTGGTTGATGTAAGATCTTATATTTACTAAGTACTGCTTTGTTGATTTCTTTAATAACATCATTAATTTGACAATAGGTTAAGCGGGATTTCATGTACCTGTAAATAAGTATATGATTAATTTTTTTAAAGAACCATTATACAAAATATTTTCTTTGAAAAGTGCTTATGATGACTTTCTACATTAACAAAGCTATTAGTATTCCTTATAAAAAAAGTTACGTCAACGTCCAAATAAACCAGACATGTTACACAGAGACCATAACGTATCAGTGCTTATCATCCCTAGTTATATCTGGATGCCTTAATCTTTATTCTCCACCTACAGAATTAATATTACAGTTTAAAATAAGCTCTCGAATTCTGATTCAAATGGACTGATTAATTGCAAGACAGACATCTAAACAATTTTAAATGTTTATGAGCAAGGGAAAGAAAATTTTAAATATTAATAAATTATATAACTTACATGGCTCCAGTTTTCTGCAAAAAATTACCTGTTCAGAGAAAGAAAAAACGGAGGACGAGGAAGAGGAGGAGGGGAGGAAGATGAAGGACAGCAAAGAAGACCACAACAAAAATGACAATGCTGATGAAGACAGAGAAGAACCGACGCTGCAGGGACTGCGCGGGGATGAGAGGGTTCTGAGCAAAGCTGCAAAGGCAGGCGGGAACCAATGTGGAGTCATGCTCTTTCTCACTTCCTAGCTCGAATTCCCTTGAGCATTGTCTCTTTCACCTACATCCCACTCTCAATCCAGATCTCCTCCCAGGCACCATAGAGTCTTAGAGTATAAAAATAGGAGGCTCTTGATTTTGAGTCTGTACATACCAAAAACAAAACTTAATGACGTGCCTCAATTTTTCCCTTCAACAAAACATGGATTCGTTATGTTAAATTCTGTCCTTCGCCTCAATTCAAAAGGGAAGTTTTTTAAACAAAACTTTCTTAACATAGTCACACAGAAAAAGTTAAGAACCATGATTTCACTGATATGTGGGATATAAAACTGAAAGCAACAAAGGAACAAGACAAACAAAGAAACAAAAACTCATAGACACAGACAATAGTTTAGTGGTTACCACAGGGTAAGGGGGGAGGAGGGTAAATGGGGTCAAATATACGGTGATGGAAGAACTGACTTTGGGTGGTGATACATAGATGATGTATTACAGAATTGTACATTTGAAACCCATGTAATTTTACTAATCATTGTCATCTTAATAAATTGTAATTTAAAAAAAACTTCCTTAATATAAAATAATATATAAATGTTTAAAGAAAAATATTCATTTTGACCAAAAAAACATTCATCTTCATTATTCCCTTCTTTTCTAAATTCATTTTTGCTGCTGTTTTCTCAAACCACAATTTCCACAAACTGTTGATACCACATCTCTACACAATGCAATTTCTTTATTTAAAGCCTCTGAACTATGACTTTAATTTACTCAATACCCATCCCTCACCTCTGCCAATATTTTCCACTTTATTTCAAACCTCAGTATTAATTTTTTTAAATAAATAAATAAAAGCCCCATGCTTGGAATATATTCTCCCTTATCCTAATCTTCTAATTTCTCGTATCCACCTAGTAATCCCTTAGTTTAAAAATGAAGACTCTACCACGACTCCTCTCATTTCCTTCCTCTTTCTCTTCATGGAAGCATTTTCTAGAAACCCTTCTGCTTCACAGTTCCTCACAGACATTTGCTCTTCCCTTTAGTTTGGCCAATGAGCAAAAACAATAACAATCTGAAAAGCTGAATAGCATCAAACAGAATTTTCATGAAAATAAAGCTGTCAGTAAAGGAAATGACTGAGTTTTTTGGTTAAAAAAAAAAAAAGATCAAAGAGAAATGTCAGCCTCATTAGTAGTCCCAGAGTCGTGAAACAGCCAGATAATTTTCAAGTGGCTAACAAGCACATGAAAAGATGCTCAACATCGTATGCCATTAGGAAACTGAAAATTAAAACAATGAGATACCATTAAACAACTTTTAGGATAGCTGAAATAGGAAAAACTGACAAAACTAACTGCAGGTGAGGATGCGGAGCAACAGGAACTCTCGCTCACGGCTGGTGGGAACGCAGAATGACGCAGCCACTTAGGAAGACCGTTGGGCAGCTTCTTACAAAACTAGACATCGTCTTACCATACGATCCAGCAATTGCACTCCTAGGTATTTACCCAAATGAGCTGAAAACTTCTGTCCATACAAAATTTCCCTACACAGGAATGTTTACAGTAGCTTTACTCATAATTGCCCCAAACTTGGAAGCAACCAAGATGTCCTTCAGTAGATGAATGGACAGATAAACTGGAGTACCTCCAGACAATGGAATATTAGTCAGTGATAAAAAGAAATGAACTATCAAGCCATAAAAAGACATGGGATGAATCTTAAATGCATATTACTAAGTGAAAGAAGCCCATCTGAAAAGGCTACATACTGTATTCCACCTATATGACATCTGGGAAAGGCACAGCTATGGAGACATTTAAAAGATTAATGGTTGCCTGGGGAAGAGATGAACAGGTGAAGCACAGAGCACTTTTAGGGCAATGAAACTATTCTGTATGATACTGTAACGGTGGACACATACATGATACATTTGGACACATACATGATACATTTGTCAAAGCCCATAGAATATACAACACAAAGAGTGAAACCTACTATCCACTATGGACTTTAGTTAATAATGTATCTACATTGGTTTATCAATTCTAACAAATGTGCCACACTAGTGCAAATTAATAATAGGAGAAACTGTTTTCAGCCCCAAGAACACTCTGTACTATCTACTCAATTTTTCTGTAAACCTAGAACTGTTCTAATGAAGTTTATTAATTAAAAAGCAAACCAACAACTCTCAGGAAAGTAAAATAATTCCGCCCTTTGCCCCAGGATTTCTCCTCCTAGGTCTTTATCTCAAGAAAATAAAGAATTACAAAATAGATTTGTCTGAAAGAAATTTCACCGTACCATTATTTCTAAGAATGAAGTCAACCCAAATATTTAATAAGGGAATGTTTAAATAACTTATAGGGTAGCCATATGATGAACTATTATACAACTATTAAAATCTAAGATTACAATAATAGTTAATGATGGGAAAATGCTCATGATAAAATGGTAAGTAAACTGTATTTATAGTATAACTACAATGCTGTAATAACAATCAGAAATAACCAATTATATATGTGCAATTACATAAAATCTAGAAGGAAATTATTTGAGTGGTAGAATTACAGAGGAGTTATTTTCTGACAATAAACATTTACTAACAACATGTATTATTTGTATTATAAAAAGGTAATGAAAAATGTAACAATATAAAGCCAAGAAGTTAAGCAAAGGCCTGGAATTACGAGAGTTTAAAAACATGGATTTCCATAATTGGTTTCCCATTACTGTCATCTGTAAAGAGCAAAGGAGACCTCCCTCTGGGGGAGGCATCTTGTCTTACTCATCCCTGTATTCTTCTCATCAGAGACCCAGGGCCCAGAACAGAGCACAGACTCAAAGAAGTGTGTGGCATAAGGAACAAGTGGAAAAGCAAACATAACACTCTGCGTTCTAATTCTCAAATCTATACAACACACTTTCTTTCAAATTACAGCAAAACTGAGGCTACTTCTAAAACGTAACTGGATAAATCTGTTATCACAAAATGGTCCTGGAGAGGACTCAGCAATACGCTGACCCATCTCTAGATCTTTCTATGAAAAGAGAGGTTTTATAACTGAATAAAAGACATGATTTTAAGCATTTTCAACAAAAGGTTTCCTGCAGTTTCATAGTACAATATAAAATTATTTTAGAAAAGATCAATATTGGAACACAGCATATTATGGTGAATATAATCAAGCTTTATGATTTAAACAATGACATATGTTGATTATTAAAGAGTTGAACGTTAAAATTTATCTTAAATACTTACGCAGGAATGCCATTAAACTCATCAGAAGTTATAAATGGCATTTCTTTAATATTTCTTAGCTCTTTAGGAGGTTTCTTTGTGCATGCAGGTTCCTCAGCTTTGACTGGTTCTTCAGGGTCGAGATCTGATGCACTCACACTACAGAAGAGATACACAGGTGTTCAGGTAATCGCCAGTGATGCGGCATACTGGAAAGTTCTCCCAACTGAAAATCATCAGTACCGAACACATGATTCATCTGGTTAAAATAATTTTATAGCCAACAATTTTTCCTATCCGTATCCCTATTGTTCATGAAGATCTGAATAGCGAAGAGAACGCTGAGAAATGAAGCCCCTAAATCGTCAGTAGTATACTTGTACGTGTATTTACCAAAAAATAGGGCAGATGAGACATATGCTCAACATCTTCATCCGTTATCCCACTGGCTCGTCCAAGTCAGTATGTGTCAAGTTGAACTGATCTTAATCTCTGATCAACTTCTCTTCCTCGCTACTTCTGGACATGGAAACATCAACCATATACCTCTATTTTTCTAGTTTATCCCATTCGATTGCTAGTATCAGTCCCTCCCTGTCGCAGATTCATTTGAGTTGCCAGCAGTGAGCATGGGTCGCCCTTGGATTCAGTCCTGCCCAATTTCTGGAGTCAGTGAGAACCCTAATATATCTCCTACCCCACTAGCAAAGAAAACCTAGAAACAGACTGTAGCTTCTAGGGTTAACTGTCAGGGGAGGAATAGACCCCTGTTGCCAGCTGCTAGCCATGCCATGCAGGCTTGACTGCTCCAGAAAAAAAACGGGATCCGGGAAAGAGCAGGGCCAACCCAGAGGCAAATGATGGGAACCCCAAGAAAGAGAGGGAAGGGAGATCCCAAGATAACAGCTGAGCAGACGCTGAGGGCAACCAGACCTGACTGAGGCGGCGGCCATATTGTGGGTGATCAAGACGCAGATGCCCAACGCTATGGTTCCATCATCCTTACATGAATCCTAACATGAGACTCCACGGTGAGCCTGGCTGCTTCTTACCTGTACTTGCTTGTCTGAGCCACGTGCTAAGGATGCTCCTGATTTCTCCTCCATGTCCTGCTGTGTGTATCAGCTGAAAAGAACCACTTCCATCTACAGAAAAGTTCTGCCTTGATCTAGCCCTGAAAGCTGAAATCTGGCCAGTGTTTTTAGAAGAAAATTCCTCTTATCCCCTAGGTTATATTCCTGCTGGATGTCCAATGTGCAGCCTACACTGAAACCTTGGCAGATATCCTATGATGACCTCTGTTCTTAGCATTCATGCATGACCTTGCCCACTAATTTTCTCTGCTTATAGGGAAATTCCAAGGTACTCTGACCATGCCAGGGACTCTGTTGAGCTTAACTTCTTCTGTACACCTCCAATTATCATCAGCAGTAATGACTCTTCCTGAAACAGCAAGGTTCATACCTTCCTTTCAGTTTTTAAAATTTAAACAGCACTTTGTTTATGGAAACACATATGCAAAACTGTGATTATCATAAATGCCAGGATGATTACCTCTTTGACAGAGGAAGAGTCAGCAACAGAAGAAGTATTGTAAGGTATAGGTAATGTCCTATTTCTTATTCTGGTGGGTAGACACACTGGTTGTTTCATTATTATTCTTTAATTTGCACAAAGAATACTTCAATCACTTTTCTGTATACATGATACATTTTAAAAGTTAAAAAAATTAAGTCAGCAATGGGATGGTTTTATATACTCAGAGTCCCCTTCTAGAAATATAATTTTGGTGGCAAAGGACTGGAGAAGAGATGAGAGTAAAGAAATAAATATTGGCAAGACAAAACACAGGAGCTCCCAAATCGTAAAGACAAAAGATAGAAAATCTCATTCAGAGCCAGGCAATGAGAACGGAAGGGAGGGCAGGGACAGAAAAAACCCTGCAGAGGGAAAATGGACGGCTGAGGGTTATGAGAGAGTGAGACAGGTGGAAGATGTCAACTTTCTGTCTAGGTGATGGGAGGATGAGAGCAACAGGCATGGATGATGGGTGACAAGGATCCAGGGAGTTCAGTCAGACATGCAAAGCTGCACGACGAAACAGCGCATTCATCCAATTCCCAGGAGCAATTGCAACAGCAGAACTAGATGTCCTATCAAGGCTGACGTTGGACATTTGAGAGCATTAACAGTGGTGTTAGGCAAGAGTGAATAAAATAGAGCTTTAGGAGATACCTGTAATTTAAAGGAGGTCTGAGAAAAAGGCGGCAGCCAAGTCAGAGAAGTGACAGGACAACTAAAAATCCACAGTGGTGGTGCTGGTAATAGAATATCAAACAGGAGAAGATGGACAACAAAATGAAACCTGAAAAGAAGAGCTGGGGCTAAAGAGAGATTTTTGACCTCTTTGTCACCTTCAAGCAATCACTTTCATAAGTGTGGTAGTAATCACGGCCAGAAGCCGTTAGGGGGAAAGCAGAGCGACTTTTTTTTAGTCCTTTGGCTATTTTTAGGATCAGACGCTCATTAAGCTTATTTTTACCCTAAGGCAGTGGTTCTCAAGGGCCAGAGGAGATTCTGCCCCCTAGATGACATATGCCAATGTCTGGAGACATTGTGCATTGTCGAACCAGGCAGGGGATGGGGGGTGGAGGAGGTGCGGAGTGCCACTGATATCTAGTTGGTAGAGATGAGGGATGCTACTAAACATCCTATTCTCACAACCAAGAATTACCTGGCCCAAAATGTCCACAGAGCCGAGGTTGACAAACTCTGTGCTAAGGGAAAGAAATGAGAAAAAGTGGAAAAAGAGCCTAGAGGAGACTCACACTTGGGAAAGAGGGGTGACATTTTCCTCAGAGACAGTAGGATAAGAAAACTGGTAAAGATAGGGGGAAATATTATTTCTAGTGTAAGTGACAAAAAAACTGGATAATTACTAACAAAACTGTTTAAGTACATGAAAAAGCAAAAAAGATTTGAGGTACTTGTTTTAATAGTTTTATAAGTCCAGAGAGCAAAAATAATTATAAATACACTTACAAGTTTTGGGTTACTTTTGTTACTTGAGGCAAATGGGGAGGAATGTTTTCTTTGAGATGTTCCACATCTTTATAATCTTCTTCAAGTGATTCACAGAGTTCCTAAAATTTAAAAAAATGCTCACCAATCAGCATCTGTCCTGCCTGTGTGTTTTGAGATGTTATAAAGAGCATGAAAAACAGAGCCACAATCACAATTGTGAATGTTCAGAATGCAGACTGGGTGAAAAAGCACGGAATGCAACAACATTTTTAAAAAAGAGCCCTTTGGTTTTTAGAACTGTTTTTGGATGGCGATGTATTTTTCTCTACTAGATTTTTTTCAGAGAACAATTGTTATAATCACATTACAACAGGCAGGATTGACATTTAAGTCTTTCTAAAATACTTTAACCTTGGGAAGCCACTAAAACATATATGAAAAACTTAAGTTTGCCGTTCTGGTAAATTGCTTTTGTTGACTTAGCAAACGGTTCCCCAGTGTTATCCGTATAACAGCATCACAGTAATGACGCATGCCTGGAATGAAAATATGAGGTGCTGTTTGAAATGACTTCCACTGCTAACATGCATATATTCCAGCTTAATGAAAATTTCTACTTGATTATAACCATTTGTTTTCGTTTTGTTTTTATTTAACTTTCACTAGAACTTGAGGCTATGAACTCATGCAGACCTAACAGGAAAAGTCCTATGCACCTTTGGATTCCTGTCATCTGATTCTCCATCACAATGTAAAAATAAACAAAGACTCCAAATAGCCTTCAGTTCTGAGTTGAACGTTCTCTGGGCCCACACCTAACCCTGGGCATTGTTGGGCAGGTTGGAATTGAAACCAATATTGGTTTCTGTTTTGAATTTATATGACATCTTTCTTTACAAGAGTGGAACGATGTTCATAGATACTAATTTCATTTCAACTAATAACATGTCCATTCTATAGTTGAAAAATCTTTATAGACCTTAAGGATTATAAGGAGGAAATGGACCGTAGAGACCACCTGGTTCAATCCCACTGAACACATCAATGGCTCTAAGAGCATGATGAAATAATAGTACAGACTGAGTATTTTACTCTCAGGAATTGCACAAGCACTTTTGTCAGCTGAAATCAATTAGAAGGCTCATTTAGAAGAAAATGTTCATATGAATAAGGCTCAAGTTTCTCTTAAGAATCTTTATATTTTACAGAAATTGAAAAATGCAGAATAGAAAGGGCCTAAGAAATAGTTCAGCATGACCCATTATTTTTCAAATGAAGACCCTCAGATCCCAAGAGGTGAAATGGCTTTCCCAGGGTGGCAGAGAGTGCTAAGGGGCAGCCAGGGTGAGACTCCACATCTCTTCATCCCAGGGCAGGTATTCATTCCACACCACTCTACCAGGGTGTCATTTGTTTATTAA